GGGCTACATAGGACCAACCTGTCTCAAAAAATAAAATAAAATGAAACAAAGTAACCTCAGGAACCAAATGCCACCCCAAAATTGTTAGCAGTATTCAACGAATAAAGTTACAGGACATAAAGTCAGCAGACAAAAATCAGCCTCTCTCCCTCTCTTCCTTTCTTTGACAGGAAGAATGTCGCTCTTGCTCATTGTGGCCTGGGGCCGACCTGTCCCCCTTCCGAGCCTCTGTTGCAGTAGCTAGGGAGGCTTACCAGCAACATCTCTGTTACTAATATCAAAATAACCAGCTAAGAAATCAAGAAAACAACCTTTCTTACAAAGCCACTCCCCTCTGCCCCCAAACGCACAGATATAAACAGTGTTGTTAGATATAAATTTACCGAGGAGGGCAAAGATCTGGGCACTGAAAGCAATAAGACATTGAGGGTAGAAATCGAAGAAGACGGGTACAGAGTGGAGCAGTACCCTCGTCCACAGCCTGGGAGAAGCCGGACCGCTAACGTGACCCCCCACCCCATGCAGCCTCCAGATTCCGTGCAGCCCTCCAGTCCTCTGGGAAGCCCCAGGGAGGGGACGTGTAGGGGATGCATTTGATGAAATGCCGGCTGTGCAGTTATGGAGGAAAACGACCTGGAATCAGAAATCCGCCAAATGGCCTTTGCCCTTTGAGTTTCACTGCACGGATCTTTGGACTTGAAATTTCTGTTTCCAAGCTACCTTTCTATAAGCTTGAGTACGGAGGTGCGGAATAGGACTTTGGGATCCTATGGGTTCTGTGCACGTGTGTCCTTGTGCCTTTTAAAAGGCATCAAGTTACACTTCCTGGCTTGTGACCCATCACCTATCTTGCGGGGACTCTGTCTTTGGAATTCAGGACACAACTCAAATAGCTGAGGTTGTTAATCAGATGCCCCAGCAGTCGCCGCTGTTTTACAAGTCCTCCTTTTAACGCAGGCTCCAGCTTCTGCCGGATGAGGATTTGTGCCAGCTTCTAGGAGGACTCGGAAAGCCTTCGGGCTCCAAGAAGTGGTGCTGGCGCTCCCCGGTGGCAGACGGCGGAACTGCAGGTGCTATGTCCCGGCTCCGCCCCTGGGGCCAAAGGCGTTTCCTGGTCACCTGGGAGCCTCTGTCCAATGGGACAGACCTGACCTGAGACGGAGAAGGTGGTGCCCGCCACCGAACGGGGGGTCTTGGAGGCCGGAAGGGTGAGGGGCACACGGTCCTGGGGACGCGAAAAGGGGCGGAGCGAAGAGGGGCGGTTCTCTGGACATGCGCAGGAGCGTGGGTCTGTCCGGCTAGGGTAGCCACGGGGACAGAAACGCGCGGTCAAAATCCTGGAGAGGTGGCCGAGCTAGGGGGGCGCCATCATCCCACTTCCTCTCTGCAGATGGCGTCGATGAGCCCTGAAACCCCTAGTTCCTGCGACTGCTTTGTCTCTGTGCCCCCGGCCTCTGCCATCCCAGCCGTGATCTTTGCCAAGAACTCAGACCGACCCAGGGATGAGGTGCAGGAGGTGGTGTTTGTGCCCGCGGGCACGCACGCCCCGGGGAGCCGGCTGCAGGTGGGCGCTGGGAGGGGCCGCAAGTCTCCTCTGCTCCCAGGCCCGGAGAGCCCCCGGCTGGAGAGAGAAGAGTACACCTTCTCTAAGAGCCTTCTAACCTGAGGCCACAGCCTGTGTTTCGCCTCTGGGCCTCAGTTTCCTCATCTGTAAAATGGGGCTAAAATCTTGGCGGAGAGCGGGGAGGAAGCAGTGACCCCGTTTTGAGTGGCCTTTTCCTTTCTCTCCAGTGCACCTACATCGAGGTGGAGCAGGTGCCCAAGACCCACGCTGTGATCCTGAGCCGCCCGTCTTGGCTGTGGGGGGCTGAGATGGGCGCCAATGAGCACGGAGTCTGCATTGGCAACGAAGCCGTGTGGACCAAGGAGGCGGTCGGGGCCGGGGAGGCCCTGCTGGGGATGGACCTGCTCAGGTGCGGCCTCCTCCCCTGGCTCACCTTGTCCTTTGCCTTCTGGCAGAGGCTGCCGGGGCCCCTCTTCTGTCCCAACTCTCTCTGGGGGGCTAATAAAGGGCCTGGCCTGGCTTAGAGATGAGTCGGCAGCACTTCTTTTAAAACAGTTGGAAACTGGGATTTTCTTTTTTTTTATTATTGTTTTTTTTGTTTGAGACAGGGTCTCGCTAGGTAGCCCAGGCCACCATCCTGCCTCAGCCTCCCAAGTACTGGGACGACAGGCATGTGCTACACCCCCCACACTTGTAAACTGTTTTTCAGTCAAAATCTTCTGAGTCCCAGTTCACAAATGCGGGATGGTGGCGCAGTATTCGTGTGAATGGACCGAGACAGGGGCCCAGGGCGCACCATCCCTGAGGACAGTCCTGTCCCTCCGGTTGGGTTTCAGCCCTTTCCTGGGGACTCCGCTGGCCCGGAAGTGTTCACTGTGATCAGTGCCAGCCTGTTTGCTGTGTGGTGGATTTGTCACCGGACCTCTCTGGGCCACTTCTGTCCCACTGAGCTTCTGCCGCCTGGCACTGCTATTCCCGTCGCCCTCTGCCCTCCCTCTTTGCCAGGCTGGCATTGGAGCGGGGCAGCACTGCGCAGGAGGCCATGCTGGTGATCACCAGCCTGCTGGAGCGCTACGGGCAGGGGGGCAGCTGCCGGGAGGACCCAGCACCGTTCTGCTACCACAACACCTTCCTGCTGGCCGACCGCACGGAGGCGTGGGTGCTGGAGACGGCAGGGAGGCTGTGGGCAGCTCAGCGGATCCAGGGTGAGGTCTAGAGATGCACCCCTTTGGTAGCCTCTGGAGGTGGGAGAGCTGGGGTCAGGGGGCCCCATCCCAGCGCCCGGCAGATGGGAAATGAGCCCAGGGGATCTTTGCCCTCCTTTGTGTGCTGCCTCCTCTGGAAAGCTCTCCTGGGCTTCGCTGGGCGGTGAGCACCTTGAACAGGAGTGGGGGCTCCCCTCCTCCCCAGCGGGGGTCCGGAACCTCTCCAACCAGCTGAGCATTGGCACGGACATCTCCGCGGAACACCCGGAGCTGCGGAACCACGCGCAGGCCCAGGGCTGGTGGGATGGACAGGGCCCCTTTGACTTTGCTGGAGTCTTCTCGCTGGCCCAGCAGCCGGTGCGCATGGAGGCGGCCAAGGCGCGGTTCCGGGCGGGACGGGAGCTGCTGCAGCAACAGCAAGGTGGGCGCGAGGGCTGGAGAGGGGACGTCCACAGCCGCCGGCCCCACCCTCAGCAGGGCCTCACCCTGTCCTCCTCCCGGGCAGGGGACATCACGGTGGAGGCGATGATGAACATCCTCAGGGACAAGGACAGCGGCATCTGCATGGACTCTGGGGGCTTCCGCACCACGGCCAGCATGGTGTCCATCCTGCCCAGTGACCCCGGGCGGCCCTCTGTCCACTTCCTCACCGCCACCCCAGACCCGTCCAGGTGGGATCGATGAGGGAGCGGGGGCCAGCGTGCCTGGAGGGGAGCCAGTGGGATGTTCTCTTCCTCCGTCCCTTGCCCTCCATCCCTGTCCCCTTAGGTCAGTGTTCAAACCTTTCATCTTCGGGGAGGGGGTGGCCCAGGCCCCCCAGGTGCTGTCCCCCACTTTTGGAGCCCGGGACCCCGCTCGGACCCTGCCCCGATTCCAGACTCAGGTGGATCGCAGGCACGCGCTCTACCGCGGACACCAGGCAGCCCTGGGGCTGATGGAGGCTGAGCAGGTAGCCCAGGGAGTGGGGGTGCCCCGGGGGGCCACACTGCAGGCAGTACTCTGGGGCGGGGGACAGGGGGCCAGGCGCGGTGGGGACTGCAGAGCTGACAGGGCCCTGCGCCTTCAAGCGTTCTGCCTGGCTTAGCACCTGAGCCCCTGGCTCTCTCTCGTTGGGCAAGGGGGGACACAACCACCCCAGCCCTGCCACCTTCCCAGCAGGAGCGGGGACGACAGCTCTGGCAGAAGCAGCGTGACCTGGAGCGGGAAGGCCTGGAGGTCCTGGGGGCGCTGCTGACCGCCGGCAAGGAGGCCCCACCGCCGCAGCCACTGGGCAGCCTCTTCCAGGCCTTCGTGGAGAGAGAGAGTCAGGCCTATGCCTAGCAGAGCGATCCCTTCGCAGCCTTTGCCTCAATAAATGTGTTTTATTTTCTGCATCAGTGAGCTGGATCCCAAGGGCAATGGAGGGGAGGGAGCTGAGGGAGGGCAGAGGGCAGCTGGAGCTGGCTGGGGCCTGAAGGTGGTGACGCGAGAGGTCAAGGAGCAAGGGTCCCTGTCCCTGCCGTTCGGACGATCAGGACCACGAGGGTGGGGTCCTGCCCTCAAGCTCTATCTGCTTCCTGCTTCCGGATGTGCCCCGCCTTGAGATGCCGAGTGAAAAGGCGTTTCAGGACCAGGACACTTTACTGAGCCGGCCTTGGCCCAGGGGAGGGCGTGGGTAAGGGGAGGTCTCAGGCCGCACTTCACTTCTTGGCTGTCTTGGTCGAGGTTTTGGTTGTTCTGGGAGCACTGGCCACAGAGGTCTTGGGGGCAGGGGCGGTGGCCGAGGCTGCTTGCGGACCCTTCCCCGCCAGGGCAGAGCTTTTCTGGCCCCTGGGGGCCGTCGCTCTTGCTTTGGTGGCGGGAGGTGAGGCCTGGGGCAAGGAGGCAAGGCGGGGCTGGTCCCCAG